TCTGATAAAAGTGTGACAAATGAGAAGCTGGAATTAACTAACTAAAATTAGGAGAGTTTTTTTTGTTTTGTTTGTTTGCTGGCAATTAACTGTTTTGTTTTTAAGGTCAACAAGACTTTTTTTCTAAGCATTAGTGCTAACACTTACCTTCTAAATACTGCTTTAGCTGCATTCATACCAATGTATTGTCTTTATTTTCATTCAATTGAAAATACTTTCTAATTTCCTTTTTTAAAAATAGGTTTTGGTTGATTTGAGAGAAAGAGAGTAAGGGAGAGGGAGAGAGAAACATCGCTGAGAGAAGAAAACTATCGATCGGTTGCCTCCTAGGGATCGAGCCCAAAACCCAGGCATGTGCCCTGACCAGAGTCCAACAGGCGACCTCTCGGTGCATGGGCTGAAACTCAACTAACAGCCATGCCGGCTGGGGCTCTCGCAAAGCATTTTAAACAGATTTTCAACTTGAGTAAAGTCCAGATGATTTGGTTTACATAACCTGGAAATCCCCGTTTCCAGAATATTTTGCTTAATCAGAATTTCTCTGGATGCCTCACGAAGTAGAACCGCATTGAGAGCCATGGATTAGAAGAAAGTTTCCCCAAATCTCCACACAAGGAGAGCCATCAGAACATGATGAATGAAGCTTTTGCAAGCAGCTTGGGTCTCCTTGGAAGCAAGGACCATTCCATTTGTGAACGAACCAGCATCTCTGTGCTTTTCCTCTCGAGATAAGAAGTGTTAAGTTACCTCCAAACCAAGTCACCCAAAGGTGAGTTCATTTATTCCTGCTCCTTGGTGATTAATTGGTCTGTGTTGCTTGGTCCTGGAAATAATGAGACTTAGGTAACGGGAAACCAGAGGCTGTCTCCCAGTGGGAAGGGTCATGGTCGGCAGTGGGTTGCTCATTCTTACCGGCCGGCACAAGTCCTCCTGGCCTGTGATTGGGTTGGCAAGTCTGTTCCCCAGCTTATGTAAAACTACCCTTATGCCATAAAACTTAGGCACTTTCTAAAAAGTCTAACCTTAGCCCTAACCGGTTTGGCTCAGTGGGTAGAGTGTCAGCCTGTGGACTCAAGGGTCCCAGGTTCGATTCCAGTTAAAGGCATGTACCTTGGTTGCAGACACATGCCCAGTAGGGAGTGTGCAGGAGGCAGCTGATCAATGTTTCTCTCTCATCGATGTTTCTAGCTCTCCATCCCTCTCCCTTCCTCTCTGTGAGAAATCAATAAAATATATTAAATTAAAAAAATAAAAAAAAGACTAACCTTAAATTATTTTGCTTGGTCTAATACTTAAGTCTGGAGTAAGGAGTCTACACAGAAATTAAATGAATGCTCACTTTTATGTCCACAGTTAATACGTGTACATGAATCAGCTATAAATAATAATTAATGTCCATTTATAATCACTCTGTGGCTTCCGGAGTGTGTTGAATCCTCTTGATCATGCTGTGAGGTGGATTCTATCATTATCCTGTTTTCTTAATGAGGAAACAGGGGTAACAATGTACTGTCACTTGCCCGAGAGCCCACAGTGGGCGGCAAACTCCAAACCACAGGCTTTCTGATTCAGAACCTGCTTCCTTCCTCGTTTGTGGGCCTACTGATCAGGAAACCCACATGGGCACAAGCAAGCAGCTCCCGTGGGCAGAATGGCTGCTGGCCTCCATGTGTTTTCTCAGTCGAAGGATATTAACTTTAGAGCAGCTCAGGTTAGGGGAGAGCCTGCACACTGTTTTGCATTGAAGGGGGTCCTTCCACTTGGTAGTGATTATGAAGCTTAGGACACGAACTTAGAAATGTGAGAAAAGCAATTCTATTTTTCTAGAATAAGAACTTCATCCTATATAATAAAAGGGTAATATGCAAACTGACCCTAACAGCAGAACGACTGGGAATGACTGGTCACTATGGCATACACTGACCACCAGGGGGCAGACGCTCAATGCAGGAGCTTCCCCCTGGTGGTCAATGCGCTCCCACAGGGGGAGCTCTGCTCAGCCACAAGCCAGGCTGACGGCTGCCAGTACAGCGGTGGTGGCAGGAGCCTCTCCCGCCGCCTCAGCAGCGCTAAGGATGTCCGACTGCAGCTTAGGCCTGCTCCCTGCTGGCAAGTGGACATCCCCTGAGGGCTGCCGGGCTGCCAGAGGGATGTCTGACTGCCAGCTTGGGCCCAATCCCCCAGGGAGCAGGCCTAAGCCAGTAGGTGGACATCCTCCGAGGGGTCCCAGACTGCAAGAGGGCATAGGCCGGGCTGAGGGACCTTCTGAGTGCACAAATTTTTGTGCACCGGGCCTCTAGTTTTTATTATAAGCCCCTAATCCACTGGTTGGTGGAAACTTAATTTGCAACCTCCCTTTCTCCTCCCCCTACTTTTCCATGAGGTTGTGTGCAGATTCCAAAGTGCTCTGAGGAGCCAAAAGGTCAAGGACGGAGGCCAAAGTGGTCCTCTTCATCATATGATCCACGATGGCACCCCCACCACGACACCCGTCACCCCTTCTGACTTCACTGGATGGTTACTGAGCTGTCCCAACCTCCCTGCCCCTCGGTGTCACCGTGCTGTCCTGCTCCATGGCAGGGGGCTCTGCTGGGCTGTCTAAGGCCTTTCAGCCTGAGCACACCGCACAGCGCTCTCCCTCTGAGGTCTGGCCTCAGCGCCGGGCCCGTCCCGTTAGGAACAAGGGGGAAAGCCTCCTTCTCAGGAAACGACCCACCTCTACCCCAGGGACACAATGTCCCTTTTTCCGTCAATCATTTCTAATGCCCACTTTGCTTTCCTGAAGTGGAACTTATAGCTAACATAGTCTACTCTATTGAATATAACTTCACCACGCTCAATAAAATCTCTTAACTGGAATATAAAGGAGAAAAAAATGGAAAATTGTAATAGAATCCTATGCCCTTAAATGTGTAAATGTCCTAGCAGGGCTACACTAAAAAGCATTCCAAAGGAGCCAGGTGGTTGCACACGTATGAAGAGTCATTGTGAACGTGCATTCCCAACTGTAGACTGGAACTGGGTGATGCACTGGCCACTCAAGTACCGCGACTCACATTGCATCGGCATCATCATTTTACACCGTGATGAGAATTCTTGCTAAGGTCCCAACAAAACACAGAAGAGCTGTCCCTCAATTTTAATAGTAGCCCCACTCCTGGGTAATTCAGTGAGTACTGAGACACCATAAAAATACTGTGTGTTTATAGATAAAGTGGGAAACCTCCACTCCTGGCCAGGACAGAGTAAAAGGGGCCAGATTCACCTTCCCTCCTGAAATAGCTAAAACCAGACAAAGTATATGAAACAAGGGTCTTCAAGACATTGGGTCATTAGGCAACAGAAGCCAACCCAGCAGGCCAATATCCAACCTCCCAGCAGGACTATTCCTATAGGACTTCCATCTAAAACATTAGGTACATCCTTTCTCTTTGCTTGAAAGTCCAGGTATATATTTACAATGTACTGAGTGAAGCTTCCCAGGAGTTGTAGTAATGTTGATGTTGATCTTGTAGATACTTTTGGCTAAAACAGCGGTTCTCAACCTGTGGGTTGCGACCCCTTTGGCGGTCGAACAACCCTTTCACAGGGGTCGCCTAAGACCATCCTGCATATCAGATATTTACATTACGATTTATAACAGTAGCAACATTACAGTTATGAGGTAGCACCGAAAATATTTTTATGGTTGGGTCACATTATGAGGAACTGTATTTAAAGGGCCAGAAGGTTGAGAACCACTGGTCTAAAAGAAATAACTTTAAGTGCTGATAAAGTTCCTGGAATTCTGTCATGATTAAGTTGTCCTGTTAAAATTGGTGGGATTACACACTGTGCTGACCTGGGAGGCATGGGAAAGCACACTATACATCACCTAAGCCAAAGTCCGACCATAAACATTTATTGAGCACCTGCCATGTGTCTGGTTATGGACGGTCAACAGGACACACCTTCAGGGAGCTCAGAGAGTAGGAGGGGGTGCTCTAGTCTAAGGGTTCTTAATCAGCAATAAGACCACCCCAGCCGAAACCGGTTTGGCTCAGTGGATAGAGCGTCAGCCTGCGGACTGAGGGGTCCCAGGTTCGATTCCGGCCAAGGGCATGTACCTGGGTTGCGGGCACATCCCCAGTAGGAGATGTGCAGGAGGCAGCTGATCGATGCTTCTCTCTCATCGATATTTCTAACTCTCTATCCCTCTCCCTTCCTCTCTGTAAAAAATCAATAAAATATATTTTTTTAAAAAAACTTTTTTTTAAAAAAAAAAGACCATCCCGTGCCGAACATCTCAATTTCCTCTGAGACAAAAGATGGAGCCCTAACCAGTTTGGCTCAGTGGATACAGCGTTGGCCTGCAGACTGAAGGGTCGGTCCCAGGTTCAATTCCGGTCAAGGGCATGTACCTTGGTTGCGGGCACATTCCCAGTGGGGAGTGTGCAGGAGGCAGCTGATCGATGCTTCTCTCTCATCGATATTTCTAACTCTCTATCCCTCTCCCTTCCTCTCTGTAAAAAATCAATAAAATACATTTAAAAAAGAAAAGATAGAGATGTCACATCCTGTGGACACCCGCCTGGATGGCTCCAGGGAGTAGAGGGTGAGCTCCCCCTGGGTCCACACTCAGGCACATGCTTGTGGACCCAGGTGTCGCCAACTCACACTGGAGCCGGGAACTGAAGGTGAGGAGCCAAGACACCTCCGGAATCAGGCCCATTAAACACCTCTGTCCCCAGGAAGCAACAGGGTTTTATACTTTGTATTTTAACTCTTGATATCAATAACCCTTACACCAATGCTTCTTAAGCTTACATATGCACACAAACTATTTGGGGATCTTGTTAAAGTGCGGATTCTGACTCAGAGGTGTGGGGCGGGAACAGAGATTTGCATTTCTAACAAGCTCCCGGGTGTTGCCCTGCTGCTGAGCTGCAGGCCATACCTGAGTAGTGAGTGTGGCCTTTCAAGATACAGTATTAGCGAGGCCATTGGTAGCCACAGAATCACAAAGATGCTGCCATGAGTTACAGGAACAGCTCTTTCCTCTCCTGGGACTGTGGCTCCTTGGAGAGAAGGTTAGCTCTCCTTCCTTAGGTAAGGGGATCAAGGGGTAGATAAGTGCATTGCATAGACTGTAAGAGAATGATAGGCTCTCTAGGGAGGTCAGGGAAGGCTTGGGGGGGGGGGGGTGACTTCTGAGCTGGGGGTGTCAAGAGTTCAGAGGGTGGAGCGGAGGAAGACACAGGAGGTGAGTCGCTCACGCACAGCACGGCCCACGCTTAAAGGTGAACTGGAAAGACATGACTGAGCATATATTTTAGACGGAGTCCTCTGGCTGCTGCGTGGGGAATCAGCTAGAGGAGGAGGGCCAGGGAGACAGCTGAGTCCAAAGCAGTGGTTCTCAACCTTCTGGCCCTTTAAATACAGTTCCTCATGTTGTGACCCAACCATAACATTGTTTTCGTTGCTACTTCATAACTGTCATGTTGCTACTGTTATGAATCGTCATGTAAATATCTGATATGCAGGATGGTCTTAGGCGACCCCTGTGAAAGGGTCGTTCGACCGCCCAAGGGGTCGCGACCCACAGGTTGAGAACCGCTGCAGTGGAAGAGACAGTGAGGGTCTGGGCTAAGCAGAGAGCAGAAAGCAGGATACCCATGACCTGTGGATGCGGTGCCTCATGCCCTTGATGGACAGTCGCGGGAGGGGGAGATAAGAACATCGCCATGCAGGTGCGAGGCTGGGTGGGGTTGATGTCTTAGAGGTGGGCACCAGTGATCTGAAGCTGGAGTTTGACCTGGATGATGGATCTGGATCCCACATGTGAGTGCGGGGGAGGGGAGGAGGAAGTGGGGGGTCCTCCCAGGAAGGCTGGAGGTACAGTGGCACTGGATGCCCTTTTAAATCAGCACCAGCACCAAATATCTGTTAACGTAAGGACATAAAATCACAGTTGTTTATGCCAGGCACTAATAAGGGCTGTGATGAGAACATCAAGCTTTTAAGAAGGTTCTAACCAACATCCAGATAAGCGTTGGAGATACAACCGTTAAAGCGCTGGAATTTTTTAAACTTTGAATAGAGTGTTAGGTGATTGACCATTGATTTCTCTGAATCAATAAAAATCTGCATTCATTATTGTGTAGCAAAGCCAGCTAGAACTAGTCAGCAATCAGACTTTATGCTAATTCACACAATTAGGCACTGCACTGTTATTAAATGCAAGTGACTTGAAGCAATGAAAAACAAAATCAGAGTTTTAAAGGGGCCGAATTTCCTTTCCACAGCAAAGCCAGCTTGTACAATGATTACTCTTGTGGCTTTGTGTGTTATTTTCCAGAACTCCTACCTAATAGATTGTTTTTTTGTTTTGTTTTTTAAATATATTTTATTAATTTTTTACAGAGAGGAAGGGAGAGAAATAGAGAGTTAGAAACATCAATGGGAGAGAAACATCGATCAGCTGCCTCCTGCACACTCCCCACTGGGGATGTGCCCGCAACCCAGGTACATACCCTTGACCGGAATCGAACCCGGGACCCTTCAGTCCGCAGGCCGACGCTCTATCCACTGAGCCAAACCGGTTTCGGCAAATAATAGATTGTTTTTTCATGGAAGTACATATCACACTGATGGCTTTCTTGTTGTTGTTGTTGTTGTTGTTATAATTTCAATAACTACTCTGTAACTTGAGATATGCTATAGTTTGGAAGAATTTATTTTGAATATTAATAAGGGAAACGTCCTCAAGGCTGCATGCATACTCTGAAATAAGAAAGAGAAGCAACACTTCCTGTCTATCTTGACTCATGTAGGATAAGATATTCCAGCGATGTAATCACAGTTACTGCACTCTGATGTGTACATTCTGTCTCTTCTGGTCAAATGCATCATCTACTGAACTTATGAGCAGCTAAGTTGATGTTTTATGGAAGCATTCATTTTAATGATTTCTTAAATTCATTCCACATATATGTAGTGAGAACATGTTCATATCCAAATTGGTAACTAAAAGAAAAATGATCAGTTAAAATGATGACTGTCATTTGCATTATTTTTACATGCACAGTGTCATTTAATTCTCAAAATTCTGTGTAGAGCCCGGCCAGTGTGGCAGGAGGTCACAGTTCAATTCTGAGTCATATGCCCAGGTTGTGGGCTCAATATCCAGTAGAGGGCGTGCAAGAGGCAGCCAATCAATGATTCTCATCGATTTTTCTGTCTCTCCCTCTCCCTTAGTCTCTGAAATATATATATATTTTAAAAGAGCAAGTGAAACAGTTGCCACTTATAGATTTCAATCTTCTATTTGCTTTTAAAAAAATTATGTGTAGAAAAACAAATTTTTTTTTATCTCCATTTACATTCCTGCCCCTGTAAATGGGGTCACTGGTTCTATTCCCAGTCAGGGCACATGCCTGAGTTTTAGGCTCAATCCCCAGTAGGGGGCGTGCAGGAAGCAGCCCATCAATGTTTCTCACATTAATGTTCTTCTCTCTCTCTCTCTACCTCTCTCCCTTCCTCTCTCTCTCAAATCAATAAAACAAATTTTTTTAAATCAACACCCAAATCATTAACAAAATATCTCCATTTACAGATCAGACCACTGGAGCTTAGAAAGATCAAGTGACTTACCTGAGACAACGTAGCTGTCAACAGCAAATTTGAGACTCCAGCTGGTTGCCTGCTGCATGGTGACAATTGCATAAATATTCTAGGGTTAAACAGAGGGTTGTTTTTAACTGTTCAAAGAAAAACATATTTAGAGATAGATGACTAGAAAAAGCTACTCAATAGCTAGTTCATTAATCACTTCATGGATTCTGCAAATAGAAATGAAGCCTGAGTGAAGCTGGGCCACCTCCGGGCTGGTCTGGACAGAGTATTGTATGCAAAAGAAACAAGAAACCAACCAACTCCAAAAACGCCTCGCAACTTAACGCAGGAAGTCTCTCAGAGAAGCAGCCAGGGGGGCCACACTGATGACACACGGTGGAACATTCTAAAGTCTTTCCCAAAGTTGCCCTCACCTCAATAGCTGCTCCCTGACATTGCTCTTCCCCCAAAGACCCCTCAGCACCCCTCTCTCAGCCCCACTGCCCCTTTGCTGGCCACCCCACCTCCAGTGCCTTCCAGGGTTCACTTCTTGCCACGGTCACTGCACATCCCTCTACTCCGAGTCGCGTTAGCCTCGCTCCCTCTAAGGCTTTTCACAGTTACCCCTGGTCAGGACAGTGATGGGACCAGGGGCAACACAGACCTCAGGCTGATGTGGGGGGAGCGGATGCATGGACTTTTGTTGTCCTTGTCACATAAACTTATTTTATGTCCCCCAGTGGCTTCCGTCTCCTTTCCACATCCACATGCCCTGTTTATCCAGCCTCATCTCCGCTCTAGCCACTTAGCTGCCTTGTTCATCATCAGCCAATCCCCAGCCTCAGGCCCTTTGCACGCCCTCTCTTGCATACAATCCGTACTTTTCCATAGATAGCCACACTACCAGGCCTCTCCTTTTATTCAAATCTCAGGGTGAATGAGGCTCCTCTTCCTGAGCTCCTAGTCTAAGATAGCAGCTTCTCTCTCTCCATCCCTTCCCCCCCCCACTCACCACCTTACACTGTTGGTTGGATTATTTATTATTTATATCTCCCATTAGGAAGCAAATTTTGGGAGCAGAGGGACTTTGTTTGGCTCTCTGTGAATCCTCAGCGCCTAGAATGTTGCAGGGGACATGCTAAATTCTCAGTAAACATTTGTTAAATGGATGGGTAGCAATTATTCATCAAAAATGTTTTAGAAGGCTAATAAACCCTCCAGGTAATGAAGACTATATTGGCCTTTTCAAACTTGACTAATTATTTGTGTAGTCACCTGTTTCCTAAGGAATCTCGGTGCCTATGGGCACCTTCGGCTGCTCTGGCCACTGCCTGCGCCTCACCTGTGCTGTGGTGCCTTCGCCCCCAGCCTTCCTCTCCACGTGTTGCATCTGAAATCCAGCTCTTTCTGTCCAGTCTCCAGCGCAAGCTGCTCGGTCTCTTTGAACCTTTTCTCCCTGAAATCTTTAATTCAGATATTTACAGACTGTCTACTTAGCTGATGGCAGGTCCTTAGTTTCCAGAAATGTCAACTGTCTGTGAGCCTCCAGGGCCTGGTGCCCTGAAACACAGAGGACCCCAGGGCCCTGGCCAGCATCTCCAATATCTGTGAGCAGCGGGACCTGCTGCACTGGGGGCTTTGGTACAGGCGCCCCCAGTATCGTTAGGGCATTTTTGTGAGCGAGAAAATGGGCCCCCAAGGAACTGTGTTTAATGCCAGCATTCACAAGCGAATTGCTCCTCCAGAGTGTCCCTGATGCCTCTCCCACTTGTACTTTCCTGGGGGCAGCGCCACCTATATCAGTAATGTACGAGAAGCAAAGCATCCTGTGTGGTAGGGAATTTGGCCTTGCCCTTGCCCTTGTCCTGAGGTCATCTGTGTCACTCTGGAGAGAAGGGAGCCTTCCTGTTGCACTCCGTGTGCTTGGTCACACATCCATGTCAGGGTGGGAACGCCTCCCAAGGAAGACGGAGCTCTGTTTCCGGAGCCCTCCCAGGCTCGTCTCTTCCTCTGGCTGATTTTAATCCGAATCCTTGTCCTTGACATACCATAACCATGAGCGTGTCACAGCTGTCTGTGGGCTCTGGCAGTCCTTCCTTCTAGGGAATTATCAAAACAGAGGGCGGCTTCAGGAAACCCCTCCCACAAACTTGCAGTTAGTGTCAGAAGTGAGGGCAGTCCCGGGGACTGTGCCTTCCAGCCCTGCAGTGTGCCACCTCTGGGTACACTCGCGCCTGGCGAAGACTGGGATCTGCTCCATGCTGTTCCAAGTCAGTGCAACATGCATCCTTCTTTGTCCATTTAACTTTTAAAAAATACTTGTTTATTCTCTTAATTTTTCAATTATAGTTGACATATATTGTATTAGTTTCAGGTGTACAACATAGTGATTAGACAGTTGTATACCTTCTGAAGTGATCACCCTGATAAGTCTAGTACCCACCTGACACCACGCATAGTTATTACAATATTATTGTTTATATTCCCTGTGCTGTACACTACTGTTCTTATCATTGTAATCTTAATCCCTTCACCTTTTTTTACCCATCTCCCCCAACCCCACAACCATCAATTTGTTCTCTGAATCTTGTTTCTGTTTTGTTTGTTCCTTTATTTTGTTCTTTAGATTCCATATATAAATTATATTATCTGGTATTTGTCCTTCTCTGTCTGGCTTCATTTACTTAGCATAATACCTTCTAGGTCTATCCATATTGTCACAAATGGCAAGATTTCTTTTTTATGGCCAAGTAATATTCCATTGTATATTACACTTCTTCTTTATCCATTTGTCTACCAATGAACACTTAGGTTGCTTCCATATCATGGCTATTGTAAATAATTTTGCAATGAACATAGGGGTGCATATATATTGTGGATTTCTTTGGATAAATACCCAGAAGTGGAATTTCTGGATCATGTGGTAGTTCTATTTTTAATAGTTTTTAAAATATATTTTTATTTATTTCAGAGAGGAAGGGAGAGGGAGATATATATAGAAACAGCAATGATGAGAGAGAATCATTGCCTGCTGTCTCTTGCACACCCCCTACTGGGGATCGAGCCCGCAGCCCAGGCATGTGCCCTGATCGGGAATTGAACCATGACCTCCTGGTTCATAGGTTGACACTCAACCACTGAGCCACATTGGCTAGGCTATTTTTATTTTATTTTATTTTATTTTAATATATTTTATTGAATTTTTACAGAGAGGAAGGGAGAGAGATAGAAAGTTAGAAACATCCATGAGAGAGAAACATCGATCAGCTGCCTCCTGCACATCTCCTACTGGGGATGTGCCCGCAACCAAGGTACATGGCCCTGACCGGAATCGAACCTGGGACCTTTCAGTCCGCAAGCCGACGCTCTATCCACTGAGCCAAACCGGTTTCGGCTAGGCTATTTTTAATATTTTGAGGAACCTCCATATTGTTTTCCATAGTGACTGCACCAATTTACAATCCCACCAACAGTGTACAAGGGTTCCCTTTTTTCCAAATGCTTGCCAGCATTTGTTTGTTGATTTATTGATGATAGCCATTCTGACAGGTGTGAGGTGGTATCTCATTGTGGTTTTAATTTGCATTTCCCAGAGGATTAGTGATGCTGAGTATCTTTTTATATGTCTGTTGGCCATCTGTAGGTCCTCTTTGGAAAAATGACCATTCAGGTCCTCCACCCATTTTTTAGTCAATTGTTCTTTTAGTGTTAAGTTGTATGTTAATATTTCTTTATATCATATTTAAAAGCTTTCATGGATGAAAGCTACTTTTAGAACAGGAGGAAAGTATGTCTTTGGTACTTATGTAATATTTATGTAAATCCCAAGGTACTTGAGAAATATTGAATTTCAAAATGATTTCCTAGCACAGTATTAATTTTGTCAGCATAATTAAGTCACCTGCTAAGACCTCACAAAGTTCATAGCAAAAGTAGGAACAGAACATGCAATGCCTGATTTCTCCCTCTGCCCACTTAGCCATGGTCAGGGCTAGGGGCACATTAATCCTAGAACACACTGGAAAGCACATGGTCCCCAGAAGGAGCAGGTGGAGGGGCTGAGCCAGGAAGGAACAAAGGAACTTGTCTGTCTCAGGAAAATTACAGAAATGACAAAGGGGGTGCCCCAGGCAAGTCTGAACTCAAAGGGATCACAAGGTGCAATATGAGGTCCTGGCCAGCAGGAGATGAGAAGCACAAAGAAGAAAGCAAGGGTGAGGAAAGACACTGAGGCCCTTAGTAAATGTAAATACAGAGAAAAAGTGCGGGCGGGGATCCTAGCAGTGAGGTATAAGCGTCTGAGAACTGTGGAATAAGCCCAGCTCACTCCTGCTCTGGGAAAAACCAAGATTGGTACTAAATCCTTTTCTTCCTTATCTTTTCAATCAGCCAACACTTAACACTCAAGACCTTGACCAAAAGCCAGCATTGCCTCATTGTCATCTGAGCATGAACAGCTCTTCCTCAGCCCAGGAAATTGCATTTTGATGAGAATAAGTGAAATCTAAACCTTAAAAGCTTGATAAATATCTGGAATTTAGTATCATACCTCCAAAGTCAAAGAAGGCTCTTATCTTAGGAATAATGTTCTTTTGCCCCCTACGGTGAAGGGTGGGGTGGGGGGCAATGCCCAGTAATTTTCTGAGCATGATTGATGGAATGGAGAAAAAGGTGAGAGCCCAAAGGCAGAGAGGAAATTGCCACAATGCAGAAGCAAAGGGAGAGGAGAGGCTCTGATCTTTGTCAAAGAAACCAGGGTCATTTGAGACGGAAGCAAGAGGAAAGGGCACGTGTGGTACAGAGGCCTTCACCTAGCTGGGCCCACACTTCCCCAACAGCCATTAAGACTGGATTTTTGTCCTGGCCAGTGTGGCTCAGTTAGTTGAGTGTTGTCCCATGCACCAGAGGTCGACGACTCAACTCCCATTCAGGGCACATGCCCAGGTTTCAGGCTCAGTCTTTAGTAGGGAGCTATAAAGGAGGCAGTCATTGGTGTTTCTCTCTCATCAATGTTTTTCTCTCTCTCTCCCTCTCTCTATTTAAAAAAATCAATAAAAGTATATTTTTAAAAAGCCCTGGATTTTGCCCTAGCTGGTCTAGCACAGTGGCTAGAGCGTCGGCCTGCAGACTGAAGGGTCCTGGGTTTGATTCCTGGTCAGGACACATGCCCAGGTTGCGGGGCTCAATCCCCAGTGGAGGGCGCGATGTTTCTATCTCTCTCTTCCTCTCCCGTCCTCTCTAAAATCCATAAAAATATGTGTGTTTTTTTAAAAAAAGACCTGGATTTTATTCCAAATGGTGTGTACAGCCCCAAGTAATGAGTTGTGATCAGTCGAAGCCAATCATAGCTACTCTGTTCTTTTTACCAAGCAGTTGATTTCCCAGCCCCCTTCTTAAATAGGGTAGCTATGTGACTCAGTTGGTGCCAATGGAATGTAGAAGGAGGCCTGCTAAGAGGTTTCTGGGAAATGTTTTTCTTTTCTGTTCAAAGAGACCAATATGACTGATGCCAGCCCCCTCTTTCCCTCCTCTTCCTGCCTCCAGCACAGACCTTGATGCTGAAGCTGCTGCTCCGAGGGACAAGACCAGAGAGTCGCAGAGACACCAACTCTGACCTCATAAAGCCCTGAGTTGAGCCAGCAGCTGCCATCTCCAGGCTTCGTGCATGGTAGGTGAGAAAAAGTAGAACTTGTAGCTCAAGCTACCTAGGTTGTGTCTGCTCTCCCTAGCAGCCACTGAATGCAGCCTTAATGCAAAAGTCTTTTTCCAAGAACATGTCTTTTAATCTGAATTATTGCCTCTATCACTGGTAAAATCATATTTTACATTATCACTGAAAAAACACCACAAACAATTAGTTTCATTGTCTTAGAGCTTATGGATCCTATCAGAGAGGTCTCTGATCCCCCAGGCTCCATGAACTCCAGTGTGGGAACTGAACGAAGCTAGAGATGCAATCACAGCCAGGGCAAGCATGACGAGGCATTGCCTGGAAGAAAAGGGCCACCTCAAGAAAGCAAGACCATGGGAAGCGGAAAGGCAGCTGGGCAAAACCAACATCCCTTTAGCAGCGGGAAAATGGTGGCGAGAAATCCATTTCTGCTCGGCCTCCACCCTTCATGCCAGGCAGCGGCAGACTGAGCTCGGGTAGCCATGTCTGTTGGTGCTGATGGAGTAATCGGTCCCCTCTCTGGCTCTCAGCATGGCAAGCCCAGGGCTTTAGTAGAAGCCAATTGCACTTGTAATAATACCGTTAGGTTCCCATGGTCTCCTGGAAGCTGAAACTGAAGGCCAGTTCTTGACCCCAAGAGGTATCCTCTGAATGGGAATGAGAATGGGGGGACATGAGCAGGGGTGCACAGGGGTGGAGGAGCAAAGCCGGGAAGGGCCAGTGCTAGACACACCAGCTGAGGACTCGGGTCTCCCTCTACCTTAGCAAGTTTTTTCTCTTTGAGTTCTGAACCCCATGACATATTTTGAAACTGACCTCTAGTTAAAGGAAATTCAACACATAGAAATCCAAGCCTACAACACAAATGGGAAGATCATGCACATTGTAGATGGAGAGTTCATTTTACATACAGCAGGGTTTCTTCATAACATGAGCTGTCTTGGTACCTTTACTCCAAGATTTGAATTCAGCAGAATTTTTCAGCCACATGTCCGTGGGCAATCATAATACTTTGCATGCATGTAAATCACTTCATACCTTACAAAACATGTCCACACATGTTGGCCCTCAAGACAACGCTACTTAGTCCTTACAACAACCCTATGATCTAAAGGAATAGACATTCCTTTCATCATCATATATTTTTGTTGGAAGAATAAATACTCACTTCAAGAATAGTTTTACTCTTAGCTGAGTATAAAATTGATATATATTTATTGCAGAAAATTAGAAAATACAGAAAAATAGAAAGAAGTGGGAAAATTTTGAAGCCCCCCAAAAATATAATTTTAAGCTTCCCTTTTTAAAAAATAATTTTTAAGTTGAAATATAATTGACATAAAACATTATATTAGCTTCAGGTATACAACATGATTTGATACTTATATATATTGCAAAATGATCACCACAATGTCTAGTTAACATCCATCACCATACATAGTTACACATTTTTTCTTGTGTTAAAAAATTTTTTTTAAATATATTTTTATTTATTCAGAGAGGAATGGAGAATGAGAGAGAGACAGAAACATCAATGATGAGAGATAATCATAGATTAGCTTCCTCCTGCACACCCCACGCTGGGGATCGAGTCTGCAACCCCGGGCATGTGCCCAGACTGGTACATAGGTCAATGCTCAACCACTGAGCCATGCCAGCCAGGCTTGTGTTGAAAACTTTTAAGATCTACTCTCTTAACAACTTTAAAATATACAATATAATATTATTAACTTGCCGAAACCGGTTTGGCTCAGTGGATAGAGCGTCGGCCTGCGGACTGAAAGGTCCCAGGTTCGATTCCGGTCAAGGGCATGTACCTGGGTTGCGGGCACATCCCCAGTAGGAGATGTGCAGGAGGCAGCTGATTGATGTTTCTCTCTCATTGATGTTTCTAACTCTCTATCTCTCTCCCTTTCTCTCTGTAAAAAATTAATAAAATATATTAAAAAAATATATATTATTAACTATAGTCACCATGCTGTACATTACATATCCATAAACTTTTTTTCTAGTCTTTGTACTGTGCATGCTATTTTTACACTAGAAGCCCAGTGCACGAATTCGTGCATGGGTGGGGTCCAGCCGGCCTGCCCCTATTGGGGCCAATCGGGTCAGGCCGGCAGGAGGGGGAGGGCCACGGGCGATTGGTGGGCGGGCCCCATCCCTTATGGGGTGGAAAGGGTCGATCAGTAGCAGGGCTGGCCAGGGGGAGGGGCCATGGTTGGTTGGCTGGCCAGCCCCAACCCCTGGTTGAACTCCCTGTAGAACTCCTGGTTGAGGGGACAATTTACATATTAGCCTTTTATTATATAGGATATAGATGATAATACTGATTAGACAATTTATTTTCTGGGTTTTTTTCACTTAACATAAATATTTTCTCAGAATATTGTTGCTCTTACTAAATGTTATTTCCTGTTATTTCCTCTAGAGTCCTCACTTAGCCATTCTAGTCTCTCTGTAACTTTGGCTAGTTTTTCCCCCCTTGTGAGTAAAATGAGGCCTTTTCTGACATAGGACCAAATCATTCAGAAATAAATCTATGAGCGTAAACACATTTAAGGAAGACCTACGTAGAGAAATAACACACCTTTGCTTTTAAATGTAAAAGTTGGATTATTTAAAAATGCAATATTGAATAAATGGTGCTGACACAATCTGTTAACCATTTGGTAAAGAATAAGAGAGAATACCCATGTCAAGAAATAGGCCAAAATCAGTTCTGGATAGATTTGTGTTAAATAAAAAAATAAAACCATTAAAGAACTAGGAAAACACAAATGTAAGTAAAGCCAAAATCCAGAATCTGATTTCAAGCTGGGAAAACTTAAAAGCCGAAGAGGACTCCATAAACAAACAGACTGAGAGAAACGGATTTTAAAACTTCTTTTTAAAAAAATGGGGAGGGGAAAAGAAAACTTGGCAAAACAACTGAAATTTTCCAGCTCATCATCCAAGTTAAAAGGTAAACATCAAACTAGGGAACAATGCAACTTGGACGCAGGCAGAGGGTTCTTTGCTCTGGAACTGTTACTAATGAGAGAACCCAGCGTGCATGGAAGCCAAGACGCTTACATCTTCATGGTGGGAGTGTACGACATACACCATTACACCCTTTTTGAAGAACACTGGGGACAGTATGTATTAAAGTCTTAAAAATAGCCTGGCTGGCGTGGCTCAGTGGTTGAGTGTTGGCCTATGGACCAGGAGGACACGGTTCGATTCCTGAAGAGGGCACATGCCCGGGGTTGTGGGCTCAGTCCCCAGTGTCGGGCATGCAGAGGCAGCTGATCAATGGTTCTCTCTCATCATTGATGTTTCTGTCTCTCTCTCCCTCTCCCTTCCTCTATGAAACCAATAAAAATATTTTTTTAAAAAATATATATTTTATTGATTTCTTACAGAGCGGAAGGGAGAGGGAGAGAGAGTTAGAAACATCAATCAGCTGCCTCCTGCACCCCCGTACTGGGGATGTGCCCACAACCAAGGTACATGCCCCTGACCGGAATCGAACCTGGGACCCTTGAGTCTTCAGGCCGACGCTCTATCCACTGAGCCAAACCGGTCAGGGCAATAAAAATATTTTTTAAAAAATAAAATAAAATCTTAAAAACAAAAGCTCATGTGCTTTTATCCGGTAATTTTACTGCTAGAAAAGAATCAGAAACCTATAAAACGATTTTTACTTAAAATTTATCATATTTATAGTGGTAAACATTTCTGAAAGTTTTAAATGTCCCAAAGTAAACTAGTTCAGTAAACATGGTCTATCCATCAAGACATATTTTAAATAAATATTTAATAAAAGGGAAAATGTTTCTGGTATTTGAAGTGACAACAGTATATATATAGAGCAGGATTGTAATTTTATGCAATCAAAAGTACATACATAAACAGTGGTAATAACTGAATATAGTTACAGATGTTTTTAGGTTGCTGTTTTTTTGTACTTTTCTGTGCTTTCCAAACTTTATTTAAAAAATTGTGTGTGTGTGTGTTTGTGTGTGTGTGTGTCTGTGTCTTTGTGTGTGTTTGATGTGGTGTTTGGGAAGATTTGTAGAATAGTAGCCCAGTGGACTATGTTCTAGATCTCCATCAACCCCTCCCACCCCACTCCTCCCGACACACATGTTAAAAACATCGTGTGGGAACCCCACAAAGGACTATAAAATGGAGACTACACAGGTGGGTTACTAGCTAAGCTTTCTCAATGGAAATTGGGAAGAAGTGAATAGCCAGTCTGATGAAATCATTTCTTCAGAAAGCCATAAATATTACAGAAAGAGATAAGGACATAAATGACCACAAGATCAAAGGCCCCGTGGAACAAACCCACTAGCAAAGAAGGGGAAATTTATAGTCTGAATTCTGGTTCCTAAGCCAGTTCCCTGTGAGTGTCCAGTGTAATGGCTGTTTAAATTATATCTGCAATTTTCTGAGCGGTTCACTTACTTTTCAAGTTTGTAAACCAACACATCAACATTTCCCAGTCAATGGGATAGCGTTCTCCAGGGAGCTATGAAAATATACCTTGCATTTTAAATGCAATAAAAAGCATGACAAAACATGCCTCTGTTCTTCATAGCAGTGAAGTACCACATCTGCTCATAAAAAAAAATGCATTATACAGAGTTGTAAGGATGCCAGATACTTATTACAGAGGACTGTTTTATTCATTTAGCCCAATTTTCCAGATGTTTTATTACTTGGAGACAGGAGAATTGCTGAAACTGATGATTGAAGCCCATTTATTTCAAGGAGCTTGTCTGCAAGCCATAGGAAACATTTGAGGGACAAGTGATTTATGACAGGCCACGGGGCAATGCTGAAGGGAGCTGTCTTCTAATCAGGTCACAAATAATCCCAACAAAGGACAAAATGCCCAATTTCAGTAACACCCAGCTTTATTTACAAAAATTGCCTCTGAGGCAAGTGCTTAGTTGTCATTTCACA